CCTTGACTTTGGAATTTTCTTAAAATAATAAATAAAATAAATATCAGCAGCGATATTTATTTTAATAGATCACTGCTATTGCTGAAAAATCTTTTCTATTTTTATTCACCGTTAAATAAAACTACTACTATTTTATTTATTTACAGTAAAATAAATCTTGTAAGCATTAAGAAACATTAAGAAACGAGCAATTATTTAGTAATTTTTTTTAATTTAAAATATATGCTCTCCATCTCAAATTAGTAGTATCTTTACCCTTTACATCATACTTTTCTATTAGTAATAGAATCTATTACTAATGCCGGTCATCTATCAAACTCCTTTCGGGGGAAAATTTTTAATTAAAATCATGTGATTTCCGGTACGTGCCGGAAGTTTATATATAATTAATCGGGGTCCTTCTACCCTCAAACTTTTCCATATTTGTTCTCAATTTTTTTTTTCTATCTAACTTCGTTTTTGAGATTAAGGAAAGACAGGAGGACAGACATACGGACTATAGTGGTAATTCTTTTCAATAAGTATCTATAAAATATCTTATATAACTTATGTGATGATGATTTATAGTTTAGTATTAAATTCTCATGTAATTAATATATATCGTCATGTTATATGATATATACTCGTATATATAGGCATAACAGATTTATTTAATTGTGTCTTATAGATTACACAGGATAATAAATGAATTTATTTATTGTTAAAGTTAAAATTGGATGTGGTTCTGAAGGATAAACAAAATTATTTAGTTTCTTTGTTGTATTAGAAAGCACAAAAGACTTAAAACAAAGAGACAAAATAATATAAAATATTCATTTAAAATGTTACAAAATGAATCAAAATAACAACACCCTTGACATTTCTCGAATTTTGAATCTTCTTTCAAAAAAAAAAATTATACCTAATAAAAATTTATTTTGTAAATTAATGAATATATAATAAAAAATATGTTTAATATAATAATAAATCTAAGNTTGTAAATTAATTAGAATTATTTATTAAATACTAAATTAACACTATAAATTTAAAGAATATGTTGACTTAAAAAGTTATAAAAGGACATTCATAGACTTTATAATTTACAAGAAATCTAAATAGATTTGTAATTACATTAAATTCGAAAAAGATGCCATTGGAGCATTATTAATTATAATATATATAATAATATATAATATAAAAATGAAGATATTTTTCACTATTACACTATCAATTTTTTGTTATTCTTCTTTAAATAACATCGTTATTCTAATATAAATCAATACACCTACTTAAGATGTCTACTTTAAACTACTTAGCATATCTATTTAAAAAGTAAAAACATCTAATCATTTTTCAAAATATAGTCATTGAATTAATTATGTATAACTGCAAAAATGATGCTTCCAAAGAAAATTAAACATAAAAATTTCTTAGAGATATATAACACAGGTTTATAGTGTTGAAAAAAAAATCTGAATGATTGATTAGCTTATACTTTGTTAATGTATTTTAGAAGTTATGTTTTATTTATGAATTAATAAAAAAATAAATAAACTTTGGAAGAATTTTCTCGAAGTTTATTTAATCTTGTTACGAAACATATTTAAAGTAGTAAAACAACTTTTATATCATACAGTACAATTATTACTCTTGTTATGATTGCCTGCAACACTGTAGTCGAAGGAATGACCTCTCTTTTTCCCCTTCTTCTTCGATGTCACGTAGAAATTGTGTACATACAACATAAAATTTTATTTTAAAATTAATATTTAAATTCAGAAAAATTTAAAATTATCGCTTCAAAATTAAATTTAAAAAAAATAAAAAGATTAATTGTTTTGTTTTTAAAACGAAATATTAAATTATTTCTGTGTTATACACATAAAATAACTTTCATTTTACAATTTAAAATGTCAAAAATTAAATATATTTCTATTAAAATTATAATTAACAACATTAATTATTTGACTTTCATTTAAATAATTAAATAAGCGATACCAAGTTTTAAACAAGAATTTTTATTATTAAAAATATATAAGTGAGATTAATTTAGATATTTAATATCTTACAAGTGTTTTTGCAAAATATTTCAATCTCTAAAAATCATTAGAGGTTATTTCAATTTTCAAAATCTCCTTTTAAACTAATGAAGCGATTATAAAGCTTCTTTCATTTTTCACTCTTTAATAAGAAATTTATGAAGTTTAATACATTAAAAAAATTTATTTTTAAAGTCGATAAATGTAATCAATATATTTTTCGTTTAATACAATTTATTTTTTTTATAAACCTTTTAGAAAAATTAATAATTTAAATATTTCTTCAGTATGCTACTGAATGTCTTTAAGGATAGATATAAAATAATTTAAATATTTCTGTTAATATTTAAGTGAAGTTTGAGAATAATTCTTTCATGTTTTACAAATATACTTTAAAAAAAAATTACTGTATATAATATAATATGTAATTTGAAGAGCTGAAATAAACTTTGGAGCTTAAAAAAATATTCTTATATTCAAATTAATTCGATTTATATCAGTTGAAATATCAGTTATATCAGTTATATTTTTAAAAACCTGCATAATTATTTATAATATAGAGAATATAGATGTTTCAATAGAACAATCCTTGTTCCCTTTATCTCAATTCAGCTAATATTGTCGTTATAATTTAATATTTAGAACGATGCTATACCTAATTAAAATGAAATTATATTCAATTTAAGCTTGAATATATTCTAAATAATTAGAGAGTTATAGGATTTCATTGTGAATAATTTAATAATAATGTTATATAAGTTAATTCGCAAATAAATAGAATTTTAAATAAAAAAATAGTAAATAAAACTTCTATAATTACGTAAAGTTGTTATATCAATTACAGCCAAAGAGATTTAGCAAAAGATTAGTCGATAAAACGAAATAGACAGGAAAAAAAAATGTATCTCCGCCTATTTTTATTTTTTCAACCAATCATAGTAAAGTTAATACTCTTCAATCAATCTAGATTAAAAATCTCTTACGGATGCCATCTTACGTTTATCGCAGAGGACGATATATGTACTGTACTGTACTGTATATTGTGTATATTAGAAACATTTTTACTTCATTTATCTTCTAAATTTAAAAAAATATATATTATAGAATATTTATTTTATTATTTATTCTATTAACAAAACTGTTTCTTCGCACATATTGATATACTTAAATTAATTTTATATTTTAAATATTATTTTTAATGGCTCTTATTAAGTTTGTCGTTGTAATTAAAATTACTGTAAGAATGTTAATTATGATAAAATAATTAATGAGTTTGTATCATTTAATATTCTAAACAAAACAATATGTTTTATTTAGATTATTTAATTGAATTAAACATTAACGAATATTTTTTAATGAAGAATTAATATAGGAATATTCGTATTTTGTTGTTATTTAATCGATTCTCAAGAAGAGTACTTGTCAACATTGAGTGGTGGAATATCTTCTAACTAACAAATTGATAAACTTTGCATTTAAATAGTCAATGAGGTCAAAGACCTTCTAACAAGCAGTTGGAATCGTTAAGAAACAGATTCTCATTTATATTCTTTATGATTATTGAATATTTTTATGCCGGAAAATTCTTCCAGAAAGTGAAAGAGTAGAACAATTATTAATACAAAAAAAATCTTCTTATAATTTTATATAAAATATGTTACGAATATTTATAAAGAATGGTTGTTATTTTCCTATAAAAACTTCATGTTAATTTTGAAATCAGAAATTCGTTGAATGTAAGTTAATTTATTTTTGTCCATTAATTTTTTTTTAAACGTTAACAAAACAGATTTTTCTTATGAAACTTTCATAAATTAACGTCTGTTTTACGAAATGATTATTAGTTCTTTTGTTTTTATATTAAGGGTAACTTATAATATAAATTCTTTCATATTTCTACTACGTTTAATAACAAATTTACAATTATTATCTAGTAACTTGACATATTTTTATAAAATATATTATTGTTTACGAGTTCTATTTTGGAAAGTAGAAAAGAAATTGCCAATGCTTTTTATGACAGAATAAAAAAGAAAGTGAAACGTAGAGCCTGTCAAGGAATATAGGCTTCTCTTTTGATTTGCATCCCATTGTAACCTCATATTTCAAACAATATTTGCCTTTTCTCCAATTTTTCCTTGGAGAAAATAAAAAGAAAAAAAAATTTGATTTTCGAAACCAGTTGTTACTCCGAAAATGTTCACAACTATCTTGAGTATGATATTTCTTCCTGTTGCCATCGACAATACTCATCTATTAAGTTATACCCCATTGAACTTACCAATTTCCTGAATAAAGTTGTTTTTTTTTCTGCTATAATGAATCGATTTTCTTTAGCTGACAAGGTTTATCTTTTTCTATTTATGTATTACTTTTAGAAAATTGTATTTAAAAAAAAAAAAAAAACATATTTACTGACACGAAATCTCTTGTTGGTTCTTATTTGGAATTATTTATAATTTGCTTACCGAATAATATTATAGTCCTTTTTAAAAAAAACTTTGTAAACTTTAACAATATTTAACAATTTTAAAAATGTTTAGAGATTTTTGGCTGTGAGCCAAACTGTATCAAACCATCCAACCCACCAAACTAGGTGTATTGAATGAAAAATGTGAACATCAATAAAAATTCCTTTAGTGAGTTAACGGTTGCATTCGATGTAAATAAGGATTCTCTAATGTTATTATTCTTTTACTTATATCTAGGATCTTTCTACAGCTTCTTCTAATTTTATTAATATAAAATGAAATGTAATTTTCAACCAAATAAATATTTTATCAATTTCTCATCATTCATACTTTAATATTAAAAATTTTCTAAAATATATTTTATAATTGAATTGATTAAAATATACGTAAAAAAATTAATTATATTTATTTTTAAATATTTAATTAAAATATTTTATAACTTCTTTTTATGTTATTTAAATTGAAATTGTGAAATAACTGTTACTCTTTTTTTTATTCTTTTTTTTTTCAGGGTATAAAACTCATCAGAATAAATTCTCATCAGGATCGAAAATTACATCACGACCGTAATAATCATTACATATAAAACATCTGTATAAAAAGATATTGAAGATATGGAACAAGAGGTTGAAAACTTCATATCTATGACATTCACAAATTGCACTTTCACTAATGATAGTTTTCCGACTAATTGCACCGGAAGGATGGACAATGATTTCTTTTTACCACCCGCTATAGTTTTGGAATTCGCTAAAATTCTTTATGGTATCGTTTGTATTGTAGGTCTATGTGGCAATGCACTGGTTATTTACGTAGTCATAAGATTTTCTAAAATGCAGACAGTGACAAATATGTATATATTTAATTTGGCTCTTGCTGACGAGATGTTTATCATAGGTCTGCCGTTTCTCTTGACGACTATGATATTTCAGTCGTGGCCTTTCGGTCAAGTTATGTGCAAGATCTACATGACAACTACTTCTATTAACCAATTTACTAGTAGCTTGTTGTTGACAGTAATGAGTGCAGATAGATACGTGGCCGTTTGCCATCCGATATCATCTCCTCGTTATCGCACACCGTTCATCGCAAAATTTATCTGTTTGACTGCTTGGACCGCCTCTGCTCTTTTAATGGTACCGATTTATATGTACGCAAATGTATTCAATAGTGAAATGGGTAATTCTTGTAACATATACTGGCCAGAAAGTACTTACATGAACGGTGAAAAAGCATTTACGCTATATTCCTTCACTCTTGGTTTTGCCATCCCTTTAGTATTGATTCTTCTGTTTTACTTTCTGGTCATCTGTAAGTTACGTCGCGTGGGACCACGTAATAAGTCTCGCGAGAAAAAACGCACACACAGACGTGTCACTTACCTTGTCCTTACTGTCATCACCGTTTACGTTATCTGTTGGTTACCATATTGGATCGGACAAGTATATTTAACATTTCTACCCCCTCGTCAGAGTCAGAGTGGGATTGTCTTCACCATAATGCTTTTAACAGGTTGTTTATCTTACACAAATTCAGCCGTAAATCCAATACTTTATGCCTTTTTAAGTGATAACTTCAAAAAGAGTTTTGCCAAAGCTTTCACCTGTGCAGCTGGCAAAGATTTAAATGCTCAGCTTCATTTGGAAAACAGTGTTTTCCTTAAAACGAAAAAAGCCAGTTCTCATCGCAGCAAACAAAGAGGGACTAATCAAAATCTTCTAGTTCCACAAGATATCGAACCTTCAACAGCAGTTACACAAATATCAAGATCTGGAATGTCAGATAAGGAACTTCCTCTACGTAATGGTTACGGAAATCAAGCCATAGCCGATTCAACTAAAGATTAGAGCCATCATTCATTAATTCAAGCTGTTTTCAACATTTTCTAAGTCATAACTTATTGACTATCATGAAAACAGCCATTCATTAAATAATAATAAAACATATTTTGAAAGAAAAATAGACAATTAGAAGCCAAAAATTATAATAAAATGAAACTTGCTTCCTTAATTTCTAAAAGTCATTAACAAATGTTTCTAACAATGGAAGGATTGCTTCAGTTCAGTAAGTNCAATAACAATAATAATAATAATAATAATAATAATAATACTTGTTGAATTTATGTACAGAATTTTATCTGAATAGTAATTCAAAAAATATATATATTATTCATCGAAATATATATAAAAGAATTTAGTTTAAATATTTTTATTTCTTAAAATTGATATAAAACGAGTAACAAGTTAGTGGGATAAGTCTATATATATATATATATATATTTGGGGTAATCTTCAAAATCACCTTTTAGTGAGACTATAGAATATAATATGTTATAATGTTTTGTGTTAAATAAAGTTATTTCTGAAGTCTCGCCCTATGTTTATTTTTTTTAAAAAATTTCCATTTAAATTAACCACACCCACATTAATTTTAAAATTTTCTATGTAAATTATTACTCAGAAACGCCTATTTCAGACTTTCAATCATCGATTAAATTTTTTTTTCTGTGTTGTAGCTAAATTAACCAATTAAGTTATTGACATTGCTTATGAAATTTATAATTGACCAATTAGGAAAAGAATTAATTACTAAAATTATTCGTTGATTAGTGTAATATTTCATATTATTGTTATTTAAATTACAATATTTCAATTAATTTCTGTTCTTTAATAATATCCAATACAGTAAACGTACACAAGTTACAATACATTATTCTATTGTTAGTCTCCGATTGATACTTTTCAGGATTATTTTTTAAGGTAAACATAAGCGTAATTGTTGAAAATAATTCACAAAATATTGTTTTTTTTTCGTCAAAAGTATTCTTTTTAGTTTCTTCTAGAGCAATTTGTTATTTTAATCTCGTGAATAAACGTTACAATTCAACGCTAAAATATATACGAATTAAACTGCTTATAAAGAATTACATGTATATTTAATAAAGTATTTTAATACGATTTAACGAATAAAATATAGAAAAATCGTTAAGTTTTTAAATGAATTTTAAATGCTTAAAAAATATTAGAAAACTAAAATATAATATAAAAGTAATAAAGTAAAATTCGGTATTGTTCACTCTACTTCTTTTTTTTTTTTTTTTTACTTTTAAGTGCATTTAAGACGAAGATAAAAGAGAAATAATGAACGAACAAAAATAATAGAAAATCTATCATGAATATGGAAAAGTGACAATCAAAAGTCAAAAATGGAAGGAATTAACTTGCATAAATCTATTCTGATTTTAATGTATACAGTGTACGAATGTATACGAGTTTATATGGCTATATTTAAACTGTCAAAACAAGTTAAAGAAAGCGTATCTTACTACGAATCTTATCAAAAAGTTCGGTCGTTTACGTATGGAAATGGTTACTATTGACCAACATTAAACATTATGAAAGAAACTTTCAGAATGTTAAGTGATAGTTTTAGTAGAGAAATTCACGAAGTATTTGAAAATGAATTCAATAAAAATCATAAATAAAAACATAAGAGAGAAATCATTAAAATTGAAAATGTCTTTGAAAATATATTCCTGTTAATGGTAAAATTCAGAAAAGTTAAATTTTAACTATTAGTAAAGTAGTCTAAAGTCAATGTGTTTATCATTATTCAGAATTCTTTAAATATATTTTCTTTTTATTTCTCTTATAGAAACTTCTTACAAAATTCTTTACATATTTTTCTTTTAAAATTTTATAATTACATAAACGAAAAATTCTATTTAAAAATAAACGTCGAAAAATGCTGATGTATAAACAAATATTATTAAAATACAGTGTTTTTTTTTTGTTGTTGTTTTTGTTTTTATTATATTAAATCTAATTTTAAAATAAAAACTTCTTAATATATTTTGAATTAATGCCAAAGAAATCTTCATCCAAAAAATTATTGAAGCAGAAATTTTTATTTTCTAACAACAAAACCAGAAATTGACCTTACTTTGTTTTTATTTCCCCCCCCCCTCTTTTTAAATTACGAAATATTACATAAAATTCTTTATATAAAGGCAATATCGTTGCGTGGTTGTATCTTTTGTAGACTTACATATTTGTATTTGTATTAAAAATCTTCTAATGCCAACGGATTTTCCATTAATAGAAATGGAAATTCTGAAATATGACATAGTTCACATATTGACTGTAAGATCTATGTGAAGAATTTAAAGTTAAAACGAGAAAATCGATAGCAACAAATGAAATGGAATTCTATAGTAAATTCTGTATGAAATATTAATAATAATAATATATTAATGAATTTCATATTAAATAAAATATATTTGTTTCTTCTATTTTAAGATTTCATTAATAAGAACTTACTTATGAGTTCTAAATAAAAATTTTAAAAAATTCTTTGGCTTTATGCCTAATAATATTTTTAAAAATAAATTATAAATATATTCTACTTTATAATTTATTTTTATTTTTTGTAAACTTTTTAACCTTTATATCTAGTTATTTTCTATTGCAAACTAAATATTACTTTGAAAATATGCCAAATATACTGATTATTTACTTGATACATTTAACTTATTTTAATGGCAATTTGTGTGTGATTATCATTAAAATTACGACCCGTTTTTTTTAAATAAATTTCATATAATATTAATAAAAAATGATAGCAATATATTTAAAAAAATTTTTGTTTATCGAAGCTGATGAATATTCATGAAAATGGATAAATATCTTTTGACAGTTAAGAGAATGAATATATAAAACTATATCTTATTATATTTAGTCTAAACGTTAGCTGTCTGTCACATTCTATATCTCAAGAACACGATAAAAGCATTTTGTTTCCACATCTAAAGATACCTTCGAAAATAACTAGAAAACATTTTTGTATATTTCAAACAAATCACGATTTTTAAACGAATAGACTACATGATTATCTTCCATGTTATTATGTACTGTACACCTCTAAACGGAAAAGGGAAGTGTCGCATACAAATTAATATAAACTTTGATAGCAATTTAAATTATCTTTATCATTTAAACTTAACAGTAAATATAAATGGTAACAATCTGAAAGTGTTTAAAATCTAATATTAAAAAAATTATACATATTTAAATGTTTTTAATACAATTTTAAATAAAGTTAAAATACAATCATGTACGTCCGTGGTTCTATAAGATTATTATAGAGAATAAGGTTATAATATATTGGAAAACGAGAAATTTTGCGGGATGTTGGTATAATCTAGTGGGAAAATTTGGTTGATATAGAGGAAAAGCTTGTTAAGGACTTAGTAACATGATCTGATGTCTCTTGTGTACAAAGCGATTACACCGTACACAAGAGACCGTACAGTACAAACACTGTTGCCTGCTTCTAAAATTTAAAGTTTTTCTCTAAGTTTAAAAATAAATATCATCCAACAAATGAACAAAAATAATAACATATACGAATAATTACTTAATAAACATTTTAATTAATAGTGTAAGTGTACAGAATTTTTATCTATTTAGTCGATACAGATACACTATATAGCTTTGATATATGACTGTACCATAATATATTTTAGGTATATTAATGTAAAAACGAACAATTTTTAATCATACTTTTAATTTATTTAATTTAAAATATATGCTCTCCACCTCAAATTATTGTCTTGCCCCTGTACATCATACTTCTCCTGTTAACAATGGAGTCATGCCGGTCATCTATGTGGCTCCTTTCAGGGAAAATTTTTGAATTGAAATAACATGACTTCCAGTGCAAATCAGAAGTTCATATATAGTTAATTGCGGCCTCTTGCCCTTAAGGTTTCTATATCTGGGGAATTAAGTACAGTTTAAAAACTCTATTTTTATGAATTAAATATAAGTTTAAATAAATATTTTACTACCCTAAACAAAATGTTTAATAAGTGTTATTTATTACTTATCCGTTGATTGGAACATAAATAAATACGTTAATTTTTAAAATAATAATTTAAATATTATAAATTGAATATTATTTACAGGAAATTTTCTAAAACCACAGCTTAGATTCAAAATTAAAGAAGGTAAATTAATAATTAAATAACATAAATTTTTCTTTACTTTGTTCATTCAAGGGGAAGTCGCACAGACTTTTCATGAAATTAAATATGCTTTATATTAAATATAAAATTTTCTTTTAATTAAATTTGTTTAAACTAAATTACAAAAGGACAAAATAAAAAGCTGAGGATAGTCGAAGAAATAAAATTAAAATATTCTATCTTTTTCAATTATGAAATAAAGAACTTTTAATGAAAATTGATTGGCGTTATAATTGTTGAGATAAATAAATTTTTTCCGATTATTTGCCATTAAGATAGCCATAGTTCCAATTAGTCTTCGTTAATAGAACTTTTATTAGTAAAAATAAACTGTATATTTACTTAATAACTATTTTATTTAATTTTTTTTCTCTGCATCTCATCCAGCGTGGAGAAGATGCAGAGGAGTAAATTCTCCTCTGCATCTTCTCCAAGCCGGATGAGAATTTTCTTTTATTTTTCTATCCTCAAAGAATACAGAAGAGGAAAAAGAAAAAAAAAATTAAATAATTGATCATGCATTAAAATTCTCTCCAAATATTTTATAAATATTCTTTATAATTATGTTTATTTATGTAACTTAAATGTAGTAGAATCGGGACCGAAGCAGTAAAGCATTATTAACCTTTGAAATTGTTAGTAAAATTTACTCTATCGGATACGAACCCGGGTCCACCAGGACTCGAAAACTATGAGAATTTTTCGTTCTAAATTAATCGGGACTTGGCCTCAGATTAGTCTACTTATTACCCATAGGTGAAAGGAGATAAAAAGGCAATTTCTAATTTTTAAATTAGAGTTATTAATTTAAAAGATTTCCCATGAAATGAAGCAAAGTAAGGATAATCGTACTCCATATTTACTTAATTATTATATTGTAGCCTACAGCATCAAGTAAAACCACAAAAATCA